TGTTAGGTGATGACAGGCACCATGCAGGACGCAAACTACAGCAAAGTGAGGGAGGGCTGGAGCATGGCCGCGGGAGAGGACCGTGCAGGTGCGCAAACGAGGTCACAGTAGGCCTGCGGAGGCGGAGAGACGTGGAGGAAGTGAAGGAGTCATTCAAGCAGATTTCAGGGGAAGAGTGTTCCACACAGAAGAAAGAGTCACAATAAAGTCCCAAAGGTCAGAATGTACCTGCTGTACTCAAGGAACCAGGGGGAAATGGTCGGTGGGAAGGGAAAAGAGGAGTAACCAATACAGTAAGTCCCTAAAATTAAAAGGCAGGGATATCCAAGCCACAGGCCAAGGGATTAGCTGAAGTCAGGGAGGGCAATCTTTCCTCTACAACTGGAGGAAAGAGGGTAAAAAAAAAAAAAAAAAAAAAAAAAAAAAAAAAGGCAGAGAAGTTTATAAGTAAATGGAGAGGAAACTGAGAGAGTCCATGCCTTTTTTCCCATATAAGGTGACAGGTAAGGTTTTATGCCAAGCATGGGGCAGGGGGTGGCTTGAGTACAAAGTGGTCAAGATTTTAGAAATGCCACTGTGGAGAACAGGGGAGGGAACTGAGCAGAACTGCTTCAACAGATACCAAAGACAGACTCAGGAGACCAGCGACTACACATTGATCGCGGCACTAATCCCAGCACTGTGTGAAGCTTCACCAGGACACGGGATAAAACAGAGGGCGTGGATGACAGAAATGATGCAAGGCTGGCATCTGCATCGTGGGCCTTGCAAAATAATGAAGAACGACTAAAAACTGCAAGTGCTCGGAAGAAAATAACTGAAATAATGCACCCCAGGAATCGCAATATGGAAAAGGAAGACAAAGACGTAAACTCCAGAAGAGGCTGACGGTCCAGGAGACTTGAGTCAGGAGAACACACAGAAAGAGACTAGAAAGCAAGAGCTACAAATTAATTATCAGAGTTTAAGATCTGAAGGCAAATCGAGACCTTTACTAGATCTGAGGGTGATGACGTGTTAAAAGATGTGACCAAAACACCGAGTTTCTGGAACAGAATGAAACCCGCGTTTCCTTGGGCAGAAATCAAGGGATTTTTAAGGTTAAGGGCAGTTACAAAGTAAGCTATAGTGGTTGGTTACTTACTACCTTTAGTGACCTGAGGAAGGAAGACTCTGTTTCAATTTCTTCATCTGTAAAATGGGGATAACAGTATCTATCTCATCTGGTTTTTGTAAAGATAAAATTAGTGAATAAGTGTTAAGTGCTTAGAAAAGAGTCTGGCACATCAAAGAGCCTGATATGACTAAGCTATTCTATCATTATTACTGTTATCGTTTACACAGTTATTGAAATCTGTCAGGATGATGTCAGAAATTCAGAACTAAGTCTATCAAAGTCATCAAACAGAGCAATAGCAGAGGATGGTATACAAGGAGGGACTCAAAAGAAACCGGAATTATCTTGGGAGGGCAGGTCCCTTGTACAAGAGCACAGGCTTCCTCCACTAGGTGAGTGTTCCAGGAATCCATCTGAATCAGCAGCGCTGTGAGAAGCTGCATTCGCTTCACTGGATTGTTTTTTGAGAACTCTTTCAACACGTCTGCCCATTTCATGATGGGTGATTTACGAGTACACCTGTCTACACTGCGCTGGGTGGTTGGCAGTTTCTGACCAAAAAAACAGCATGACCTCTGTGCCCCGCCCTCCCTATCTCACCCCAAACCTGATCTCACCCCAAACAACTTTGTTTTTGTTTCCCCAGCTGAAAAAAGTCCGCATAGGGAAATGTTTTGCTGATGTGGAAGAGCAAAAAAAAAATGGCAGAAGCACTAAAAGGCATCAAAATCGACGAGTTCAAATGCTGTTTTGAGCAGTGGAAAGAATGTCTCTATAGGTGCACTGCATCAAATGGAGAGTACTTTGAAGATGACTGAAGCTTGAACATGTAAGAATAAACACACAATTTTTAATAAATAAATTCCAGGTTTTTTGGGGGTCCCCCTTCATAGCTGAACAATATGCTTTGGCGGAAACAATGTGTTATCATTAAAAATATTTTTAAATCTATTATTTACAATCTTATGACTTAAAACATATAAACAAACAACCATAAAACAATCATAAATGTACCAATTGAGCATTAGATAATAAGTAGTATATGGAGTAAACCACCATGGCAGGGGGAGCAACACATTAAATTGTATTAAAATGGATAAGAGGTGGAATTATGTTATCTTACTATACCTTTACAAATGGTAAAATGTAAGGTCGTTGAAGGTAAGGAATTAAATCTCCATATGCACTCTCAATTAATTAGTAATCAATGTCATAAAAGTGAGCATAAATGATTCACTGGACCATTACCCAAAAAGTCAGAGAGGTCCAAGGCATCTTTCGCAGGGTTTTTTTCCTATCACAGTCATGTCTGTTGCTTTTATCTTCTATGCTAATGAGCTGCATGAGAACAAGTTCTAAATGTATTTATATTTATTCACACTCTTTGGGGGACCCCAGAAATTCACCAGGATATGTTCCAATAAGGCGATCTTTCAAAGAGAGCTACATGAAATCGACATGCTATACCTTTCACTTTGGAGCCTTCTGAAATTCTACCCTATCAGCTTAACAAGACAACAGAGAGATGTTTCGGCCTGGAAAAGACCTGCTGTGATTAGCAGGCTGGGAAGGGGTTTACAAAGTGAAGGCAGGGGCCCATTGTTGTCCTTTACTCTGTACCCAGGACAAGCTGACAGCAGGGACGTGGGCTAGAAAGCTTTGGCTGCGGAGACACTGTTAGCATTCTCCTTGGGAGTTTATTCCCTGCGCAAATTCAAAGTGGGAAAGAGGAAAGAGAAAAAAAAAGGAAAACTGCATTCACATCTGGTCTTGAAAAGGAAAAACAGTCTGTTCTAAGCCTTAGAAGCTGTACTTAATTGGACAAATTTTGGAAAAACATTCATCAGGGCAGAGCTGCACAGATTCATAAAATCTTGCCTCCAAATCAGATCCACAATCAGGTCTGATTTTAACAAATGCTGCAAATACATTTAACCACAATTCTTCAGACTTTTTTTTTTAACTAATAAGGTAACTGTAAAAATTTAATACTTAGAAGTATTTCTTAATTGGGGCATGGAATTTTAAAACAGACATTCTGTGCTCTCATATTAATACAAAAAATAGTTTCTATTGAAGCCATTTTTGATTCATCCAAGTTTTAAAAAATCTTAATAATAAAATATAAAGTGTTATGATTTTCCTTAGAAAACTGTACCTGAAATTTTTTTAATTTTTCAACTTAAGAGGTTGTAGGAATTCATTCATTAAGAAATGGAGTTTGAATGCAAGCAAGAGACACAAAGAAGGCAGGCACCCCACGCACCAGGTCCCGTCCGCATCCAGGAGGCAGCAGAAAACCCATTTCCAGGCCCACCCTGAACTCAGCGGGTGATCACTTCCAGATCTGCTGCAGGAGGCCAGCACGCGTGCAACCCTCATACTCCATCCGCAGATGGAACATAAGAACTCCCCCTGCCTCATAATCCAGCAGCCACTCCAAGTTAATTAGAAAGCATCACCTCACTTCTTAAAGAACTCGAGCAAAGGTTTTATTACGACTAAACTGATAAAATGCCAGCCTTTAAATAAAACATCCACCATGATATCACTTCTTAAGAGCTATTCAAAACCAGTCACCATACCCTCATTAGGCTCACACAGACCCATCTGTGGCACAAAGCAAAACGTTCGCTGTCGACAGAACAGCTGCCTGGAGCAGCGAGCGAGGGATCTGTTGACGCTCTAATTTCAGCTACCTCGAAATTCCACAAAGATGACAACCTGCGCCCTCGGAAACGCCGCTGCCACCTCCCCCACGGCCAGGATATTCCAGCTGACCAATGACTGGAGGCCGAGCTCCTCTGAGAATCTGTCCACCCAAGGCCACCTACTGAGGCCCAACTCGGTCCGCTGGCCTCAGCAGCCCTCAGATCCGCTGTGCACACGGAGGGCATCACCAAGCACCCGCTCCAGGGCACTGGCCACCGGAGATGAATAATAACTCAGTATTTCACCCCACTAAGAATGGAATCTCGAAGACACTTTCCCTTGGAAGCTCCACAAGCATTCCCCAAGGAGAAAAAGTGATTTTGGAGGTGAATTCTGGTTTGAGGGCCTGAAATGTCTGGTGTTGCCTGAACAATGACTAGCTTGCCGGAGCAGCCTCCCAACCCCCACAGCTTGGCTTCTGGTGGTGGCTAGTCACCCTGGAGGCTGCCAGGGCTGTCACTCGGTGCCTTCCAGCAACGGGACTTGGCTCCTGAAGGATTTGTCAGATCATCCTCCCAATATGGCTGCCAGAGTAATCCTGGGCTGCGAGCGCCGAGACCACAGCCGCCTGCTCAGGGCTGGCCGGCCTCCAGCGAGCCCCCTCCCTCCCTTCCCGCCACGCTCCCCTCTCCGGCCCTTGCGCCACCGGCTTCCCCCAGCCACCCCATGCCCTTTCACGCCTCCGTCTGGCAAAAGGGCGCCGCCACATTCCCAGCCGAAGCCCCGGTGCCAACCACAATGGGGAAGAGGGATGAGGAATACAAGAAAGGGTGGCTTCGAAACGGAGCAGCGCCGTCTGCACCGAGCTGCAGTGCGCGCGGCGAGCCGCGGGAACGCACGGACAGCCGCGGGCCTCCCGGCCGCGGGGCACAGCCGGGGCCTGGCAGCTCCAGGGAAACGGGGGGCTGGTGCGGGGCGCTGCGGGGGCCCAGCAGGCCGCTGGCCCCAAGCCCGGGGCTCGCTGCTGGTCTAGGGAGGCTCCCCCACTCCCCGAGGGCGAGGCTCCCCCACCCCACCGGGTGCCCTGGTGAGGCAGCGCCCTCACTGTCCGTCGCTCTCGCCCCACCCGGCGCTTCCTCCGCTCGGACGGCGCCCAGACCCCGGCCCCGCCGCCCCTCCCCCCGAGACGGGCCCTCCGCAACCCGGCCGCAGCAACCGCCGCCCGCCTTACCTCAGCCGCGCTGTGGACTGATGGGCGGGCAGGCGGGCGGGCCGGCTGGGTCAGCAGGCGCCGCAGCGCGCGGGGGCGCGGAGGGCCGAGCACCGACGCTCTTCAGAGCGAGCAGCGGCCGCCGCGAGCCGCAGGGCGCCTCTTCGCAGCCCCATCACGCAGCGGCCCGCTCCCGCATCGGGGGCCACAGAGGGCGGTAGCGCGGGAGGCTGGAGCGCAACGACCGGCCGGCGGTGGCAGCCGCGGTGGGTGAGGAGTGGCTCGGACTCGCGCCGGTGCCTCCCAGGACCGCCGCCGTCTGACTGCCCAGAGTCGGTCCTGGCGAAGCTCCGCCCGCAGCCGCCGGCACGGGACACCGCCCCGAGCCCAGCCGCGTCGCGTCACCTCGGCCCGCCCCGACGTCCGCGACTGACGTGGCAGAGACCAATCGGAGTGCAGGGCTCGAGTCGGCCGGCCAATCGCAGAGAGAGCTGAAGGGGGCTGCGAAGGAGAGCTGTGGAGACGACGGGGCGCCCCCTGGTGGCTTAGAAACCGGCTCGAGTGTGGGAGTGCCCGGGGTGCGGGGTGGGCGAAATCCGCGCCCAGAGTCCCCTCCCCGGTGACCCCCAGAAGGGCGTTAGGCGGCGGCAGCCGCGCCTGGCCAACCGGATGATCCGCCTTGTAAGGGGACAAAGCTCGGCGAAGTGGGGCGGGGCAGGACTGGTGGGAGCCAGATGCCTGCGGAGGAGCTGACAGAAATGGGGGAGGCGGTCGAGTGCGGAATGTTTGTCAGTTTGGGAAAGATCTCTCACGTTGAAGTCCCCGAGAGCGGCGCAGTCGGAACTGAAACACGCAAAGGGATGAATGTATTCTCCCGCAGAAAGCTTCCTGGCCTATTCTTACCGAGCCCGATCACAACACCTCCCACACGCCACCTTGGGAAAAAAGGCGTAATGAGTAATGGAAAAGCGTGACTTAGTAGGCATTCAACTTGTCCCCTTGGGAGATAGACAAGGGCCCGAGAGTAAAAGAACAAAATGCTTTGTGTGGCTCCTGAGTTACTCTGGAAGATGCCCTTGAAGGAGGGTTGCTGGAATTCAGAAACGCCGAGAACATGAGAGCTCCAGTAGGGATTTTTTAAAATCAGATTTAGATTCAGCTCAAAAGAAAAAGCCCGCAACTCTTGTTCATGAGCGGTTCAATTCAGTACTTAATAAAATATAATAGTCAATGGTAATATGTGCGTTTATCATGCCAAGCACCAATATTTCATAAGGTTGTGAAATGCTTTCTTATTTACTAGAAGAAATTGAAAATAAAATAGACTTCCTACCCCTCGAAATTCACTACAGTTGGATGTAAAAAGCCATGCTAAGAATCATAGACAAGCGATTTTTAACTGCTGTGATGCAAGAATTTGTAAAACACCCAATACCTGACTATTTAGTCAGGGGCACTGACATCTTTTCCCTTAGATTGTTAAATTTAAAAATGACAACAGCTAACACAAGAATAGCTGTCCTGTGTGAATGAATCAAAATTATATTTATTTTTTTGGTCAGATCAGCAAGAAACATTTTTTTGATGTGTCTCAAAATTTAGTAATTAGTTTATTTGTGCCATGAGATGAAAAAGGTTGAAAATCTCTGGAATAAACACTAACACATCAAAAATAATTTTCTACACTAATGGTTTTGGAAAATCTCCCCCCTTACTGAAAGTCCTAGTGCTCTGCAACCAGTCAACATTTATTGAACATTTCTCATTTTAGTTAGAATGTAAACACCACTTATCCACATTGGACATAGCTTACACTGCAGAATGCAAACGGTAAAACTATATAGATTAAAATAGGAGTCATAATGAAATAAAAGGCAGTATGGGGGAAGCATGTATGAATAAAGAGATCTCATAGAAAGAAAAACAATATTAAAAAACAGAGTCAAGGGAACGTGCTACCTCTGAGCACAACACTCAGCTCTTAACTTCCTGAAGGACAAGACAAAAATGTAACTACAAAGGGTTATAAACAGAAGCTCATCATTTAATCAGCAGACACCCACTTTTTCGTAGCTTGAAGCTCTAAGTAATATGATAAGCACCATGGAGAGTTACACAAATCTGGATGGAAGTTAATGTTGCTTCAGCTCTCAGTGGAGTTTGAACTGAAAAGAATCTAAAATAGTGAAGGTAATCAGCACAAAAGCACACAGAGAAGGTCAGTATAAATAGATAAGGCTGTTCTAGGCTTCAAGGCCAAAATACCTGCTCCACACGAGCCTTTCGCCCCTCCGAAAAATGAAGTCGCTCTGCAGAGCCATTGAGTCTCTCAGGTTACAGATTTTGTACAAAGGCACCACTTAAAAGTCATAAAGTACTAGAAAATTGAATTTAGCCATGGTCTGACAGAGTTATCCCTGGAATACAAGAAAAAAACAACATGAAAAGATCTGTGTTATGCACACAGCCATATTACTACAACTAATGAGGTTTCCAGATACAAGATCAATACAGGAATAGCCAATTAGAAAAAGTGATTTAAAAGGATCCCATTAAAAATGGCAATAAAACTATTAAATATTTAAGGATAAACTGACAAAAGATGAGCAAGACCGATATGGAAAAAATATATCTATACACAACTGTATTGATGAAACACAGTAAAGAAGACATAAATAGATGGAGAGGTGATCTTTATTTTTAGACTGGAAGAAAATATAAATCTGCCAATTCTTTTCAATTTAATCTGTAAACCTAATGTAAGTTCAATTAATATTTCAATAGGATTTTTCATGGAATTTGACAAGGTGATGATAAAATTGAAGTGATAAGACTCTTCCATATCCATTAAAAATTCACTTGCTAGAACAAAGCCAAGAATATCCACAGCTATTTTGAAAAAGGAGGTATGGGACTTGCCCATTAGTTAGCAAGATTATCTGTAACATCATACTAATAAGAGCTCTGTTGCACTGGCATGAGAATATACAAATCAGAAACGGAACAGAACAGAGTCCAGAAACAGACCGCATGCATATGGAAATGTAACATATGATAGCACTGCCATTACAAATCAGTGGGGAAATGATAAACTGTGCATGACAATAAATGATGCTGGAATCCTTGCTTAACTGGTTAAAAAATGTGATCCTTACATCACACCACACAAAAAATAAATTTCAGGTGAACTGAAAAGCTAAATCAGAAGAGCAATATTTTTAGTAGAAAATATGAAATATTTTCATGACCTTGAGATAAAGAAAAACAAGAGGAAAAAAACCACTAACCACAAAAGACTGATGAATTTGTCTATTTTTTTTATTTTAAAAACTCACTTCTACACAACAAAAGATATTATAAAACCAAACAACAAACCATCGATTGGTCAAATATATTTGCAACACACATAACCAGAAAACTATTCAAAATATAAAGAAATCTGATCAACTTATAATAATACAAATCAATATGAAAAATACAAATAATCTAATAGAAAAAATATGCAGAAGGCTATAAGTAGGTAGTTCACAGAGGAAGGTGTGAAAAGACACTCAACTCCCAGGAAATGACATACCATGCCACATCTATTAAATTGTCAGAAATGAAAAGTGTAACAATGCCAAGCAATATAAGGGAGTGAAATGGTACAACCCCTTTGGGAAATGCGTAAGAAAGTGGGTGAACAGAAGATGAACACAACCCTCTACCCCAGCAATTCCTCTTCTGGTGCATAGCCTAGGGAAACTCTTGCACAGGTAAGTAAGGAAACAAGAATGGTCTTTGCAACATTGTAATGGGGAACAACCAAAATGCCCATCAACAAAAGAACAGATGAATAAATTGTGATGTTGTCATATACCAGAATACTACACAGCTGTTAAAATGAGTGATCCACAGCTACATTTAACAATACATTGACAGCAATTAGGGTCCAGTTAGAAAATAGAAAACATGGCAGTTATTACAAACACAGGAGATTTAATGGAGGAATTGCTTATCCAGATGTTGCAAAAAGAAAAGAAGCGATGATAACGCAGAGACCAGAAACTGCAGGAAGGTGCTACATCCTTAGCGCTGGGAGAAAAAATGAGGAGGGGGTGTTACTGAAGCTCAAAGGCTCAAGGAGGGGCCAGGACTGGAGCTGAGGGTAGAGAGGAGAGGTTGCTGTGTCAGAAAAAAAGCCCTAGAGGAAGGTAAAGAGCAAAAATGAAAGAAAAACTAAAGTCTTCATTCCTCATCTCAACACCTCCTACCAGCAGAATCCAAAGGAAACCGACTGGCAAAAGAGCTTGAGAAATACAGACTGCAGAAGGGTGGGTCCAGGCTGAGAAGCAACAGGTGACTAGCTAGCACCATGACCAGCTCTCAAAAACATAAAGCTGAGCAAAAAAAAAGACGAGTTACAGAATAATGGAAGAGGTGGAGTAATGCCACGTCATACGTAAAGGGTGAAAACATACCAGTTGACACTACATTGTTTAGAATGACATTCATGTATAATCAAGGACAAAAACCTGCATGGGAACAACAGTCATCAAGTTCAGGACAGAGGTTACCCCATAAAATAAAGGAATCAGGAAGCAGGACACAGGAAGCATCAACTCTATCTGTAATATTTTATTTCTTGGGGGAAGAATGGCGCAAGGATGGGAAGGTTGATAGAGTTGGGTGGCAGGTACAGGGGTGGGTATCCTTATGGTAGTCTCTATATTTTACTGCCTGTTAAAACATATCTCATCATTGTCCTGGCCCAGTGACTCAAGAGGATGGAGTGTTGTCCAGTGCCCCAAAAGGTTGCAGTTCCATTTGGGGTCAGGGCACATACCTAGGTTGCAGGTTCTGCAGGTCGGGGCACTTATGGGAGGCAACCAAAAGATTTCTCTCTCTGCCTCACCTTCCTCTCTCTCTAAAATTAGCAAACATATCCTCATGTGCAGATTAAAATATGTGTCTATATCATCATTGTAAACTGATATTTGTCCCAGGGCACTCTGGCTGTGGTCCCACCGGCCACGCCTCCCTGGGCGGGCGGGGTCGGCAGACAGATCAGAGGGGCTGGGCGGGGCAGGAGGGGCTGAGTGGGCGGGGATCCTCAGCCATAATCCTCGTCACGCAGCAATCCTCCCCTGACCTGGTTTTAAGACTCGCTGGCCTCACACCCTGCACTTGCACCTGTCTGGGACAAACAGTTGGCCTTCCTGACTCAGGGTCCACATTCATTTGAAACTGCCACACGTTGCCACTGGCACTGACTAAAAAACATAGGAAAGGCCCATTTTTATTTTGGGGAAAATTAAGACCTCTCTCTTCTGCAGTACTAGCCATACCGCGAGACAATTTTATTTTGTAGTTATTTTAACCAAGGTC